CTCGGGGACCGCTTTGCAGAACACCTACGCTCGGTTCGCAACAAACAACTGCACCTCCCAGTCGCGAACCATTTCAACTCCCCCTCCCATTCCTCAGACGACATGTCCATCCTGGGCCTCCTGCAGTGCCACAACGATGCCACCCGAAGGTTGCAGGAACAGCAACTCATATTCCGCTTGGGAACCCTGCAGCCCAATGGTATCAATGTGGATTTCACAAGCTTCAAAATCTCCCCTCCCCCCTACCGCATCCCAAAACCAGTCCAGCTCGTCCCTGCCTCCCTAACCTGTTCTTCCTCCCACCTATCCCCTCCTCCCACCTCAAGCCGCACCCCCATCTCCTACTGACTAACCTCATCTGGCCCCCTTGACCTGTCCATCCTCCCTGGACTGACCTATCCCCTCCCTAACTCCCCACCTACACTCACCTTTACTGGCCCCATCCCCGCCTCTTCGACCTGTTTGTTTCCTCTCCACCTATCCTCTCTTCTATCCATCTTCTATCCGCCTCCCACTCTCTCCCTATTTATTTCAAAACCCCCTTCCCCTCTCCCTTTTCTGATGAAGGGTCTAGGCCCGAAACGTCAGCCTCTCTGCTCCTATGATGCTGCTTGGCCTGCTGTGTTCATCCAGCCCTGCACCTTGTTGCGGAGGTGAAAACTGATGGCCAAGTTGTTTCCATTTTTAAAAAGGTAGACACTTTTGTTCACAATGGCAGAAATTACATGGGAAGCTGATACTCCTTGTTGGAGTTTGTGAATCTGGAAAAGGAACTCACAAGGATGGAGTCGTAGTGAACTCTTGGTGTGAGCACAGGATTGGAGAATAAAAATAATTGAGACTTCAGAAATATTTTTGTCAAAAAGAAAGATAACTCCTTACTTTTTAGAAGTTGCTAGACCCATACCGATAATAAGAGACAAGTCAAAGCTGGACAAGCCTTTGCTCAGAGGTCCTGGTACAATATGTCGAGCGTAGCTTCCGATACCAAACCCCAGTCTGCTCGGAGCAGTAAGAGTCAGAACGTGACCCATATAAAGGGTAAGGAGCTGATGTTGGGGCAGGCTACTGCCTTGACTCTTTCTGCCCTATAGTGAGCTGCTTTCCCCCTGGAATGAGAGGAACACAGGTACTACAGCAGATGAAAATGGGTGGCATAGATGTTATTTCTGCTGCAATTTTGGCAGTATTCCAGGTGAGTGAGTAGGCAGAGCTGAGGGCACGCAGGGCTAGGGGTTGGGCTGGATGAGTCCAAGTGAGAGCGGATGTCGCGGGCAAGAGTGAGAGTGGTAGAGCTTGTTGGATGGTGAGTACAGTAGCCCAAGATAGCTTGAGTATGTGATACCTGAGAGAAGATGGTGGCATATACGCTGGTAGAGTGGCGAAGACCACTGACCTGCACTCTGAATTCTTCCAGATGGTGCAGACTGCTTTAATCTGGGGGGCAACCTCAGATCAGGGTGTTCATGGCCTGGTGCCACAGCCTCGACTGCTAGTCCTCAGGGAAGAGGACTCACTGCCTCTAACCCCTACTCAGGCAAAGGGGCATTGATTTCCCCTCTGTCAGCCATGTCCAGGTAAATGTCAGGAACCATGCAGGGCAGCCCTCTACAGCAAGTGCTTGCCTGTGTGCAAAAAGCACCTTCAAAGATGGACTGGGTACAAGAGATGCCAGTGAATTCTGGGATACTGGAGAGTTGCAAGTTTCTGCTGGAAGATGGAGCTGGAATCAAATACAAGGGTCAACACAGGGGTGTGATAGGTCATAAAAGTGACATAATTCTGGTAAGTTAGGGTGAGAGAATTCATTAGGATTTGTAGCAAGTACCAAGAAACTCCACGCACCTCGATCTTAGCCAACAAAAAAATCATAAGATTCAGCCCTGAGATAGCAAGAACTTCAGATGCTGGAGTCAGAGATAACACAGTGTGGAGCTGGAGGAACGCAGCAGGCCAGGCAGCATCAGAAGAGCAGAAATTTCTGAAGAAGGGTCCCGACCCGAAACATCAGTTTTCCTGCTCCTCTGATGCTGCCTGACCTGCTGTGTTCCCCCAGCTCCACACTGTGTTGTACGAGATTCAGTCCTTTATGTCTTGTTGACCACAAACAGGTCAGAAAAGATATCAGTCAACCTGATTGGTAATTGACTATACTATGAATTTCATACAAGGAATTAAATGGTTTTCAATACTTTTTATTGTCGGTAATCTCACTGAGTAGCATAAAGTCAAGGTAAAGTAGATAGCCAAACATATTGGTCAATAAACACATTTCGAAGAACTGTCGTTGTAATTCAGATTCTGAGTCTTGCGCTTGCCTGTCGTCACATACAGGAGGTTACCTTATAACATTGTACACAGGTAAGATAAATCAGTTTCAACATCATTCGACATGAAAGCATTATTTATTTTGGATTACTGGACGTAAATAATACCGATTATTTATGAAACAAAAATATTAAGTCGGGCAGCCATTAATCATTAAGATTTCAGAAAACTCTGCTAGGTTCTGACAGAGTCTGTGGTATTGTTGATTTTGGCACTGCATTTCTGTTGGCCAAGATTCCAACCAGGTTCCATCTCCAATCAGATAATTGATCCTGAAACCAAGAGAGCCATAGATTATGAGGAAGAAAACTCTCAGTCACACACTGATAATGTACACTTCTGAAATGAACAAGACCTTTGCCTTTTGTGACTTTAAGAGGTGTATTTTGCCCTGGTTTTCTTTTAAGAGAAAGTTTCAGACAGACGTGTTGAGCAGTCTGCTCCAGAGCCACTACAGTAAACAGCTTGTGAGGCCTTGGGGTTTTTTTTTAAAAAAAGTTGGAACAATAGAAGCAGCCTGAATGGCTGGGGTCAAGATCCCACAGAACCAGGGTTTTTTTTTTTTTTTTTTAAGTTTTAGCCTTCAGTAGCAGTTTCTGGGGTCTTGAAATTGGATGTGAAAGTTCTTATTCCTCTTTGTTTCAGCTAAAAGCTGGAGTTCTTTTCCTGCTGCTAGAATTGCATGTGAGGCAATCTATTTTACTGAATTTGCCTTTGCAAAGGGTGAGTTTATGGGATGTTAATATATTGGAACAATTCATTTATAGTAATTAACATGTATTATTTTGTTAAGTATTTAAATTGAGTTCATTAAATGAACTCTTTTCTTTAATTATTATTTTGTCTGTGCTTTAATGATAGTGTATGAATAAAGTGTGTTTTGTTTGAAGCCTGGTAGTTTGGCCAATCAAACTGCGTCTGGAACACAATGTCTTACACTTACCTTTAAAAAAGGAAATGGTTAGGTTCCCTCAATGTGCTTTGAGGGACATGGGCACAGGCGGCTAATTTTGGATAACTTGACAAATATAAAAACAAATGAGATTCTCCATGCCAAACAAGCCAAGCCTAATTTTCCACTTAAGGTTTTAACAACTGGAAGAGAGAATTTAGATGAGAATCTCACTCCTGAGTGGTAAGGGGTCTAATTGCAGGCACTCACAGCTCTTTTGCTATCTGATCTGTATGCGGGTCACTATTTTCCTGGGTGCCAGAGAGAACATAGATACCTCTAATTCCCAACTTGGAAGTCAGTGGTAAAGCTAACAGTTCTCCCCTGGATCCGCCACCTTAGCCAGTATTCCCAAAAATCTCACTTGCAGTGACTGCATGCACACTTCCACTCAGGGAGTTTAGCATCAACAAAACACCAGCCTCACCAGATCATGGGAGCATACCCCAAAGTAAAGCATAATTCAGTTCAGCACTTCAATACTGTACTTGTGAGCTCAGGAAAAGGTGTGGTCTGGAATGTTCTACACCAAAGTTCAGATTGCTGATTCTACTTGGCGTCTCTAATACAGAATTAGAAAGTTTTGCAACAGTCCAAAGTCACAACACTTTTAAACCAGGGCTCATTCATTTTCCCATCAACCTGTTCAGAGATGTTATGACACACCTCTGGTACAAGTGGAACTTGATACCCAGGCCTCCTGACTCAGAGCTGGGGACACTACATTGTGCCACAATTGCCCCCCAAAAACGTTGCAGCATCATAGAATCCCTACTGCTGGGAAAGAGGCCATTCGGCCCATTGGGTCTGCACACAGACCTTCTGAGGAGCTTCCCACAAAGACCCAGCTCCCCATCTCCCCCACCCTATCCCCATGATACCGCTTTTACCATGGCTTTTTACCATCCCCCTAGTCTGCACATCCCTGGAAACTAATTGCAATTTAGCATTGCCAATCCACCTAACCCGCACATCTTTGGGCTGTGGGAGGACACCAGGGCAACCATAGGAAGCCCACCCATACTCAGGGAGAATGTGCAAACCCTACACAGACAGTCGCCCGAGGCTGGAATCAAACTCAGGTCACTGGCAACAATGCCAATGGGAAGGGAATTGGTAAGGCCCTTGGCTAAGATCAGACAAAGATGAGGAAAATAGTTGACAGGACCGGAACCTACGTGGGGAGATACCAATAGAACTGAACGCATCACCTTAACCAATTGGCCACAGCACTATCCTGCTGCACCCAGTATTCCCAGACAGACTCTCATCCAAGTACTAACTAGGCCCAAGTCTGTTTAGTATCCAAGATTAGATGAGTTTGGATATTTTCAGATGAGTATGGATGTAGACATAATTGTTGCTGTGACTCATTATTTTATTTAGATTATCAATTAAATGCTAATTGTGGGACAATCCCGCGAATGATACAAAAGAGCAAATTTGGTTCAAAATTAGCAGTTTACCTTTTACCATCACTCCACAAGTCTGATCCCTGCCCCATCAGTAGATAATCATTTTCCGAGTCCACATTAAATGTTCCTTCACAGTTGTCATGAATGATTAGTTCTCTGACTTGTCCATCCATTACATCATCGCTTCCTAAATACGAAAAGCATGATCCAGATGGAAGATTATTCCGACCACTGTTCAATGTTCTCCAACACATTAGCTTTTAGCTACATGCGGCTCGTGCCATGTCTGGTTATTAAGTGTCAATTAAACTACGTGTCAAAGAAAAGTCAGCACAGTCCCACCCCAGCAGAAGAGGGAGCTGACTGATGGTATAACCTCAGTTTCACTACACCTCAGGTGAGGTTGAGAAGGCGTGATCTTTATGGTGACCCCAGCAGGGGTGGGAATTGAAACCACAATGTTACTGTCACTCTGTATTATAAAACAGCCGCCCAGCCTACTGAGATTACCAAGCCCTCACTAAGGCTTGCCATTGAGGCTGTTCATCATCATAGAATTCTTACCGTGTACAAAGAGGCCATTTGGTCTGTCAAATCTGTGTCAGCCCTTTGCCCAGAACTGTCTGATCTAATCACATCACAGTCTCCCTGCTCTTTACTCTATGCCCCTATTAATGAAGTCTAGAATACTGCATGCTTTATTAATTGCTCTCTCTTCCTATCCTGTGACCATTCATGACTCAGAAACGTCAGCTTTCCTGCTCCTCTGATGCTGCTTGGCCGGCTGTGTTCATCCAGCTCTACGCCTTGTTATCTCACAAATATATATGCCCAGGTTTCTCTGCTCCTGCTCCTTCAGAACAGTTCCCTTTAGTTTGTTCTGACTCTTCATCTGCTCTGTACCAAAATGTATTACCGAACACTTCTACACATTAAACTTCATTTGCCACCTATCTCCCCAATCCAGCAATTTGTCAAAGTCCTTTCAGAGTTCTATACAGTCTCCCAGTTTACAATTCTCCCAAGTTTTGCATTGTCCAAAAGCTTTGAAATTGTCCCCTGCACACCAAGATCTAGATGATGTATATTTGTGAAAAAAAAACAAAGCTCCCAATACTGACACCCATGTCCCTTGAGTGCATGTTCAAATCTAATAGTAATAAAACTTCCAGGAAAGCAGTTCAAAGATTTCTTGTCTTAGAGTGTGTCCATGATACCAGTGACTTAATGCAGATCAAGCAAGATCATTTCCTGGGACAACTGGAGTGAGTGTCACTCTTGCATGGTATGGAATTGTTGAAATTACATTCCCTGCAACTACATCCATGTGGAAATGAATGGACTGTTAATTCCTTTGGATACTGTACACACTTCCAGTGTTATGTGTGCTCAAATCTATATTTCTGACTTTTCTCATTTAATAAAATTTAATTTTGTTTTCGAAACAAAAAGCTATAACTTTTCTCACAAGTCTATTGCGTGGTACTGTTTCAAGTGTCTTTTAGAAGTCCATAAACACCAACTCAACATCACTACCCTCATCAAACGTTACCTCTTCATTGAACTTCAGCAAGATAGTTCAACATGATTTTCCTTCAACAAATCCCTGTTGGCTCTTAGCAATTTGAATATATTTTTACATCCCACAATTAATCCAATCCCAATAATTGTTACCTGTGACCAAAGTTAAACTGACTTGTCTGCATTTGATGCGCTTATCTTTACAATTACTTTTGAACAAGGCCATAAGTTTACAAATTCTTATGGCCTCTGGCCCCATCCCAGAGCCCGGGGAAGTCACTGCCAGTGTCTCTTGCAAATTCCATTCTCACTTCTTTCAATATCTTGGATGCATCTCATCTGGTCCCAGTGCCTGATCAACTTCAATTACCGACAGCTTATCCAAAACTTCCTCTTTTTCAATTTTAAACCCTTCTAGCGATTTAGTTCTCTCTTCTGTCACGGCCGAAGGTACATCTGCCTCTATTTAATAATTCCGTCATACCATTGCCTCCTTGTATAAATCTCCTGTTTGGTTACTAATCAGCCCTACTCTTCTTTTTACCATTTATGTGCCTATAGCAGACTTTGGGATTTTCCTCTTCGCTCCTCTTATTTGCTTTTCCACCTCGCCTCTGATCCTGCCCTTTTGAGTTTCATTGTCAATTTTATTTTCTACCAGTATTCTTCTTTAAACCTAATTTCCAGCTCCTTTGTCACCAAGGGAGGTCTGCTTTTGTTTACCCTTCTTTTTTCTTTTGAGAGAATGTCCTTTTACTGTGCCCTATCCATCTCCTCTTGGACAGAAACCCATTGTTCAGCTACTGTTTCTCTCATCACCCTTTTCCTCCACTCTACCCAGCTTCGTTCCATTCTTACCCAATTGAAGTAATCTCTCTGCCAGTCAATTATTCTTAGTCTGGATTATTCACTGTCATCATCCAACATGGTCCTAAGACTTATGAAGCAATGTGCACTGTGCCCTAACTGACCCCTCATGGACACTTATTCTCCTTCGCGCCCCCATTTCCAAGATCCAGGTCTAGCAGTGTCGTCTTTCTTTCTGGATTGACACATACTGCTGTAGGAAAATCTCCGGAACAAAATCTAGGAATGCTTTCCCTCCACTGCTCTTTACACTACCATTATTCCAGTCTACATTCAGGTAATTAATTACAGCTAGTGCATTTTTCAAAACTATCAGTAATTATTTTGAAGTTTCGTTCTTCTATATCCTTCCCACTAGCGGGTTGTCTATAGATTACACCAAGCAATGTAATTGCACTGCCTTTGTTCATTAGCTCTAGCCAATTTGACTCTGTTGCTGAACACCATAGAACAACATTTTCCAGTGCTGTCATATTCTCCTGAACCAGAAACACCATCTCTCCTCCATTCTCATGAATATGAAAATAACTCACCTTGCTTTATGACAGACTTAACCTCTACTTCGTAGTATATGTAACTGTCTCTCTTTTCCTTCTTGTTAAACGTCACTTTGTAAACTAAAAGAGATGAAATGGATTTAAAAAGGCAGATGTTAAAGCTTATGGTTCTTGTATCATTAGAGCAAATGCAAGCTGAGACATCACAAATAACTGGAAAGCAGCCTACCAACGGCTGGAATCATAGAATCCCCACGGTGTGGAAAGAGGCCTTTTGGGCCCATCGAGTTGGCACCGACCCTCAGAAGAGTATCTCACCCAGACCCAGCTCCCTACCATATTGCCGTAATCATGGATAATCCATCCAGCCTACATATCCCTGGATGCAATGGACAATTAAGCATGGCTAATCCATCTTGGACATTGGGAGGAAACCCACGCAGACACGGGGAGAACATGAAAACTCCACGCAGACAGTCACCCAAGGCTGGAATCGAACCCAGGCTCCTGGTGCTGTGAGGTAGTAGTGCTGGCCACTGTGCCAAATTGCCGCTCTAATTCACAGATTGCCAAACTGTGGGGATGACCCCACTGTGGAGAGTTACAAAAACAATATTTTTGGGGTCATGAGTGTGCAAGTTTGACTGCCCTCTGGCAGCCAGGCATCTTTAAAGCTTGTATTTTTGTTGATGGATGGACGAACTAATTAATTTTTTCCCCAAGGTCTGACTCTTACAGAGACTGTAAAGAGGTGAGTTTTCTTTCTTTGGAGAATCTCTGCACAACAACTAAAGCCTCCCATTCCCCTGCCTCCTCCACCCACTAACCCCGGACAATCAGAGGTGGATGTTTTGGCTTCCTCAAATAAGAAGCAAATCGTTCTAAATACATTTTGGGAGAAGTCAAAGTAAGACTTTAATAAAGTTATTTTCTTCCAGCAGAGAACGTGTGACACATCACTTTGGAGAGACACACTTCAGTGCTGCAAACACATCACAACCTCAGCACAAATGGCTTCGTTGTCATGAACTTCACAAGTTTTCTTCCTTTCTCACTCACTGCCATGTCCAGAGGTTCAATCCTCAATTATGGGAGACTTCCCGACAATCCAGGTCAGTCACAACCCAAATTCCAATGGGGGAGGAGGGGAGGAGGGAATCATACCACAATAACACTGCAACATGAGCCTGGATCAGGGTAACAAAAGCTAGCCAGCACCCTGACCACCCTCCCATATGGTAGCTTCCAACATCAGCCATCCTGTGACAATCAGAAATGAAATGTCCCTTATTTCCTAACAGGGAAAGCTCATTTCTTGTGAAACAAATGAAAATTGGCAATTTCAGATGCTTAGCAATTGGGTAGATTTAGTACAGTTTGCCTGAATTTGGTTGGTGAGGTGGTGAAAGGGAACCAACTGGGGCAAAACCTTTGCTTTGTAAGAGACTGTTTGACAAGATTCAAAAGGATTTTTTTTGGACCATTCCAAATTCTAATCATAAAACTTGTTTCTATTGATCTACCATTTCCAATTAAATTTGTACAAATAATACACATGAACCAACACCATGAACCATAAACCATTACAGACACAATGATAAAATATGTTTTCAACGTTTTGACTCCACTGACCCTTCTTCAAAACAATTCTGTACAAGGGTCACTGGACTCAAAACGTTAATTCTGTTTTTCTAACCGCAGATGCTGGCAGACCCACTGAGATTCTCCAGCACTTTCTGTGTTTGTTTTATATCTCCAGCATCTGCAGCTCTTTGTTTTACAATAAAATATGCATGGTTTATAACAAGCATTTCAGGGATTAGTCAAAAACATTTGTAATACAGTGCGTTGAATGATGGATTTACCATAATCTGTTCCATGGTAACATGCTTTATCCTCACGATCTGTGTAAGAGATACGGTGTTCAGGCAACTTAACTGATATACAACTTCCTGCAAAACAAAAAATAAAAATTGCAAAATTTCTGAGTTCCAGTTCAGGTTTTTCAGACAATTCATTAAAATGAAAGTGTAAAGATTTGAATAGTTTGCTTTCTTCGCTCTTAAAGAGCTATCATTAATAGGAAGGTATTCATAACTAATTCTTAGGTTTGAAACAAAAACAGAAATTGCTGGAGAAAGTCAGCGGCATGTGTGAAGACAGAAAGCAGACTTAAAGTTTCATTTGGACTGAAAACATTAATGCTGTTTCTCTGTCCACAGATGCTGCCAGACCTGTTGAGTTTCTCCAGCTATTTCTGTTTTTGTTTTGGATTTCTAACATTCACAATTTTTTTTTATTTCAGCGTAGTACTTGGGTTTATTTGGTTACTATTTTAATTTGTTTGGGCCATGATGAGAAGAGTACATTATCTATTCCAGTCCCATTAGTCCACAGGTCACAACATGATTACAAATGTTTTACTCGGTTCCCAGTATGGTCAGTTGTAAGCTCTCCCTATATTAAACTTAAAATAGAAAGATCTGTCAATCAAGTTTTTTAATGAATTCAAACTTATTGATTTATTATAAGACCAAGACTTATTCAATGACAATGATAAATCTATTAAAAATTATAAATATGTAGGAATATAAATTTATAATAATGAAAAAATAAATGTTTACTCTAAATAACTCAACGCAAACACTAACAGGCACAACACACATACAGGGTAAGAGTAAATAAGTGGATTTCTCTCTGCAGAGATTAACCATGGGGAGGAAAACATTTTAGCCAATAAATCTTAATTCTAGAAGTCAAAACGGATGAGGTTGAGACGGTAAGATGGTTGATGTTCAGACATCCTGCCATGTATAGATAGGTGTCAACAAATACAGACAATTGTCTTTGGAATCTTGGCAGATGCAGTTTGCTCAGTGAAGATAATCTTGAGATGTCTTCCACTTGCCCTTCAAGATGATAGTCAGAGTTCTCAATGGAAGTTTCTTCTCAGAAGCTGTAGGCCTGAACGTGGAGCTGTTTACCTCCATCAGGCTGGTCACAATTGAAAATCCAAACAAAGTTCACGACTGAAAAATACTGTTCAAACAGAATAGCTATAAACCCCAGTCATAAAAACAGCTAAATGTTCTCACTGCAACGAGTTAAAATAACTAAGATACACAAATATCTGGAATTATGTGGAGTTGAATCCCATGTTCTTTTGGCTAAGTCCAAGCTGCATGGAGTTTTTGGAGGATTTTTCTTTTGTTGTGAAATGTAGCAGGTTTTCCTCAATTTTTTGTACTAAACTTGCTACGTTAATTACCAAGCCCCAGCCCGTTGCCACCTCTCATGTCTGATTTCTACCCCATCCTATCACACACCATTCCCAAAATAATTCGTCACTCAGTGGATATGTCTTACACCTATCCCATATCCGAAAGATTACTGAGCACATGGACAAACACTGACAAATTGACTTTGCTCATCGCTGGCAAAGTCATAGAGTCATAGAGGTGTGCAGCATGGAAACAGACCCTTCAGTCCAACTCATCTATGCCAACCAGATATCTTCAAATAATCTAGACCCATTTGCCAGCATTTGACCCAAATCCCTTTAAACCCTTCCTTTTCATCTACCATCCGAATGCCTTTTAAACTTTCCTTTAAAAAAAGTCCATAATCCTTCAAACTAAGCCAATAGAAATTGTTAAATATAAAGCGTTCATAAGTAACAATAACGCAATTTTCTTTCCATATCCAAATCATCTCAAAAATAATGCAGTAATGCTTTCTTCCAGGAAAGATTTGTTATGCTGATCCAAGTACTTCACTGTTGCTTTTATCTTTCCACTACAATTTGTGTACCAGTGCAACTCGTCCATGGCAGAGCCATTTCCCTGGCCTCTACACTCATCCATGGAACATCTGGATAACAAGGACACCTACGTCAGATTCCTACTAACTGACTTTAGTCTGCCTCCAACACATAATTCCAACCAAACTCATCTCCAAACTCTGAAATGCAGGGCTCTGCTCCCCTCTCTGGAACTGGATCCTTGACTTCCTGACCCACAAACCACAATCAGTAAAGACAGGCGATGACACCTCTTCTCTGATAATTTTTAACACCGATTCCCCACAAAGCTGCGTATTCAGCCCCTTACTATACTCCTTATACACTCACAATCATGTGGCCAAATTCTGCTCTAACCCCATTTACAAGTTTGCTGATGGTACCATCGCAGTGGGACTGGTCTTAAACAATAACAAGACAGAATACAGTGAAGTGATAGAGAGCTTAGTGGCATGATGTACAGAAACCATTTGCTCCCTCAGTGTCAGCAAAATAAAGGAGCTGACTTTAGGGAGCACAGTAGAGGCTACATCCCAGTCTGCATCAATGGTGCTGAGGTGGAGATGGTCCCAATGTCAAGTTCCTGGGATTGATGATTGTCAACAATCTGTCCTGGTCCACCCATGTTGATGCAACCGTTAAGAAAGCACAACAACGGCTCAACTTCCTCAGGGAGCTAAGGAAATTTGGCATGTCCACAATGACTCTTACCAATTTTTATAGATGCACCATACAAAGCATCCTATCCAGATGCATCACAGTTTGGTATGGTAACTGCTCTGCCCGAGACTACAAGAAATTACAGAAAGTTGTGAACACAGCCCAATCCATCATACAAACCAGCCTTCCATCCAATGGCTCTGTGTATACTTCCCACTGCCTCGGGAAAGGAGCCAACATAATCAAGGACCCATCCCACCCTGGTTATGTCTCTTCCACCCTCTTCTGTCGGGCAGAAGACACAAAAGTTTAAAAACACGTACCAATCTGTACCAACAGATTTAAGAGCAGCTTCTTCCCCACTGTTATCAGATTTATGAACGGATCTCTTATATATTAGAGTTGATCTTCCTCTGCACCTTCTCTGTAGCTGTAACACTATATGCATTCTGTTCTATTACCCTGATGTACTCATAAAGTATGATTTGCCTGGCTAGCACACAATACTTTTCAAAGTATCATGGTATGTGACAATAATGCAATAAAATAAAATCCATCTTCAAAATCTCCTTTTTGGTACACATTAAATTTGCTTTCATTCTTGAACAAGTTGTTCTCGATGCAATTAGGACACCGGTAAACAGAAGCAAAGCAGGCTATTCAGCCCATCAAGTTGAGTTTACTTCTTTGTTTAGGAGGTCCTCATGTTCTTCCTCAGAAGACAGCTCCTGTTCTCTCAGCTCTGCACTATCTATCACATCCTCTCCTTACCTGTTCCCGTTGTACAAAGTACAGCATGAAAGGACTGTGCAGCACACTCTGTATTGACTGTACTGTTGGGGCCCCCACCTCCCAACCCCCCAGTACAGATCCAAGCATTGGACAGTCATCTTCAGGAGTTATTGTCTGCTTCACAATAGCCCCGGTGGAAGAATTGCTACAACTGAAAGAAACTTTTCTTAGCTATTTCATTAAATACATTTTAAAATATGTTAATGAATGATATATGCAAATAAAAAAAAGTTTTATATCTTTCAGGTGGCCTATAATCACTTGAGTTTGAAGGCTTAGAGGTGAACTTACTGAAACATAGAATTCTTAAGGGGCTTGACGAGGTTGATGCTGGGAGGGTTTTTTTCCTGTTGGCTGGGGGGCATGGACTGAGAATGAAAGGCTGCTTATTTAGGACTTAAATAAGAAGACATTTCTACTGTGGTCATGCTGATGTTTTATGAACATGAAGTATAGCAATACATGCGTGAGTGTTGAAAATGTTAGGTGATGGACAGAATACAAGCTGGGCTCAATGGTTTTCTATTACACAGTGACAATGCCCAAAGGAAGAAACTATACTCACAGACAGTGCAGGTTAAAGTAATTTAACAACAATGTATAATTCCATCTCCATTGCTGGAAGTGGGATAAGACCAGGATCCATAATCTATGTATGCCATTGTTAAAATGCTGTGCATTCTTTGGGCTATTAAAACTGATTTAAGTCAAGTTTGCACTAGAAACCAAGACACCGCGAATGGTACATCTATATCAATTGATGGTAACATGAAAGAAATCATCATCCAACAGCGATTGCACTATTGGGAACCACAGCACTACTTGGAACTTTTAACTTTAATTATATCCTAAACATAATCAAATGAAGGAATACGCCTATATAAATCTAATAACTGAATCTTACCTTCTGCACATCTGCAAACTTCACCTTGACAGATTTTGCTAAGCATGGCACTGTTTCCATCGACATTGTAGAATTTAGTGCAACTGTTCTCTGTGTGAAGGCAATGAAATAGATTAGTATAGATGAAGTCATATAGAGATATTAAGACACATAGTATAAATGATTCACCCTCTATTTAAAGCACTGAAAACTTCCCAATAAACACTTTCTGTACAATCATGAATGGAGCGCCTTGAATATGAGCCTAGAATTTACTGTGCACAAGAATAATTGTACAAAATTTCTTTGTCCAGATGTAGAAAACAATTACCAAATTTAGATAAACTCATTTGACAATTAATACTTATAAATTCCTAATTTTGACATTCCTCCTTTTTTGAGAAGTGAACTAAATTTTATCATATTGTCAAGTCAACAAATATTTTAATCTTTACAATTGAGTCTATTTTAAAATCCTTTAATTTTTTTAAATAAAGCTGTTATATGTTCATTGTCCTATTTTCCTTTTGGCATATAGCTTTTCAAGCAACTTCACATTTTCTTTCTTCTCAAGTTACCTTGATTTCCCTTGGGTGGGAGTCAGTAAGATAGTCTTACAAATACTCACCTGTATCATAATATTCATAAATTTTAACAGAAGCTGGTTGAATAAGTCCAACTTTGAAGAACTGATGTACTTTAAATCCAAAACAAGTTTCTTCTAAGTGTGAAATCTGTTTGTGATTTAGAAGGGAAAATCAGAACACAATTGATTAATTAAATAAAGTCCCAGAGAGCTGCTCTGTCATTAGACAGGGATGATTGTTGGTGGTTTAACCTGAGGGTCATCGCACCTCAGGTGAGGAGAAAGGTCGAGAAAGAGAATTCTTCATGGTAACCTCAGTCAGTTCAGGAGTTGGACCATACTGTTAGTATCACTGCTGCATCACAAAGCAGGCATCCAACCAACTGAGCTAACCAACCCACAATTAATAAAATCTAGCTAAATGGATTACTCCAGATATGTGAAACGAAGGAAGTGATGCAGCAATATTGGAAATATAATTCATCTGAAGATACTCCACAAGGTGTTTTAGAAGTGTTAAAGATAGACAAAACTTTATACTATGCATGGTTGAAATGTTCAACACCATTAAAGTCCAATTATTAACTCAGTCCGAATTAAATTCCAATTTGATCAGAATACATTCTAACTTCTGAAACCTAGTGACAAAAAAATTAAAACCCAACACATTGGTGTGTTACATGGTAAAGCTCTCAACTTTTTCGCTTTGAGTTTCAGTTTAAATTTAGCAGACACTGAAGGTGTGGGGCCGAAGGTATCTTTCTTGATCATGTTTTACAGGAGATGACATCAATAAGGGGGGTACGTTTAGTCAGCTGGATGAATGGATGGTTGTTTCATAATGCAGAGTGATGCCAAAAGTGTGGGTTAATTTCCCATACCAGCTGAGGGTACCATGAAGGATTTTCCTTTTCAACCTCTCCCCTTGCCTGAGGGATGATGCGTACACGGTCAGAATTTGGTGAAATAAACATTCTTCCTCAGCAAGATGTGCCAAAGGAAATAGAGCCAGGGTGTTTCTCTCGGGTTGCTGGAGCAGGCTGCTCATGGATCATTTGTCACAGACACTCAAATTATCTTACTGCTAAACAGTGAAGCCTTTTCTATAAAACAGGTTAAAAGAAATGAACAGCGTTTGCATATTATTGTTGTTAAAACGATGTTGCTCGCCTCAATGCAAAATACGTGATCTATTGGATGATGTCCCAAAGTTACAGTAATAAAGTGGGGAACATGGATCAGCTTCGGGTCAATTTTTTAAGCTTTCCCTATCTGACAGAAACCAAGTTGGTAAGCAACTAATGGAGACTGAATGAGTTTCCTTGCCAGGAGTACAACAGCTTACAAAAATTCAAAATGACTAAAATAGCAACAAGCATTTTAGGAGGCCATGTCAACAACTTTATTTTTTGTGCAAGAGTAAGTAGTTTCTTACCGAATCCAAATAAATAATCAATGATCCTTGGGTTGATAATGCCCTGTCTAGTTCAAATCTTGATATATATTTATCAACTCCATCTCGAAGCTGGAAATAAATCAGACTAAAGGTTAATAAATTACTGTATAGAAATATACGGCAACAATGTTAGATATATTGAACTAGATTTGAATGTTGAAGAAATGAAGTGGTTGCTAAATCACTTGCTCCATTTTTATATGAAACGAGGTTAGACTGCTCCTGTCTCTAGAGAGGTCATAGAAATTCTTAAGATCAATGATCTCCAAGAGAATAATCAAACTGAGTTCAGTCATAAATGAAAATATTTTCCCAGCCATGGCTGCCACAATCAGATACATTCTTACCTCAACCACCAGCATTCATATCTTCTTCAATTTGCACTCAGGAGATTAAGGGACGTGGAGATCACATGAGCAGGTCACATTAAGCTCAGCCATGATCTTATTGAATGGCAGCACAACTTTGACATGTCAAATAGTCTACACCAGCTGCCACTTCTTAAGTTCATCAAAGACAGATAGGTCATTTGTCACGTTAGTTGTGAGAGATCCTGCTGTGAATGAGGTATGTAATAGCTTTCTATTGTTTGAAGCGATTCAGTTAAGTGAAGCACTTTGGGAAATTTCTCAAAGATCATGACGTTGCAAACTAGGAATTAGGAGCTTGGGTTGGCTCTAAAGTCCCTATGGTTTATTCTGGCATACAACATAATCAGGAAGTTCTATATAAACTGTACCTTCCCTCGCTGTCTTTTAATCTCTAATTCGCTTAATAACTGAATTTCACTCTTGAATCCCCTCCAAGTAGAAAATTCCAAAAATTCACAACTCCCGAGTAAAGAAATTTCTCCTCAGCTCAGGCATCTGAATGGCTAACCACTTGTCTGAAAACAATGACCCCCCAAGTTCTTCATTCAGCGGGACAGTCTCTCCACATTCATTCACCAGGTACTCAAACAATGTTACACATTACAAAGAGATCATTGCTCACTCTTTCAAAAATATAGGCCATTCTGCTCAATCTCTCATCACAAGATAGCCCTGTCATCCCAGGAATCAATCCAGTGAACCCTTTACATTCAGGCTTTGTTAACAAGGAGACCAAACATGTACACAAGCGTACGCCCAGGCGTAGTCTCACCAAAGCTCAGCATATGGGCCACAAAATTTTCCTTCTCTCATTTTTCAAACTCTTTGCAATAAACAAAAACCGAAAGAACTGCAGATGCTGTAAATCAGGAACAAAAACAGAAGTTGCTCGAAAAGCTCAGCAGGTCTGGCAGCATCTGTGAAGAAAACAAAAATCAGAGTTAACGTTTCAGGTCCGGTGATCGCTCTGAGGAAGGGCCACTGGAGCTTCCAGCAACTTCTGTTTTTTTTTTCTTTGCAATAAATGCCAAGTTATTAGTTAATAAGGTGTGGAGCTGGATGAACATAGCAGGCCAGGCAACATCAGAGGAGCAGGAAAGCTATTAGTTATTAGTTCCCTTCCTAAATTTTTTGCTGTACCACCATGTTAACATTCAGAGATCTGTGCACAAGGAGACCCAAATCCCCTCAAATACCAATATTTAGTAGCTTGTCATCTGTTTAAAAATACATTCCACTTTTCCTTTCTTCCTACCAGTGTGGTTAATCCACACTTCCCTATTCACTTCCGAAATACATTCACTGAACAGTTCCTTCAAGTTTCTTTTTGTTTGTCCAGGTTACAAAAAAATTGAAGTCCCAGTAGTAACTCCATATCTTTGTTACAAGGTGCCCCCATTTCGTGATTTATACTCTGGTTATTGTAAGGGAGACCATAACTATTCTTACAATGACCACAGAGAATGCTGGAGAAACTCAGCAAGTCAGGTATCATCCGTGGAGAGAGAAAAAGTTAATGTTTCAAGTCTTGTATGACCCTTGTTCTTCAGGTGCTCTGAATAAGAGTCATGACGGACTCAAGATGTCAGCTCTATTTCTTTCTCTCCCCATGGATGCTGCCAGGCCTGCTGAGTTTCTCCAGCACACTCTGTATTTGTTTCAGATTTCCAGCATCTGCAGTGTTTTGCTTTTATAACTACTCCTAGTTTTGTTGTTCTATGTTATTTCTCATCTTCATCCATAGTGATTCAGCGGGTCAACTTTTCAGGTTAAGATCCTATCTACCCTACTGTCTTATCTCTTTCTTTATCACCAGGATTATTCCATATGCTTTACCACATTGTATAGTTGCTTTGCAAAAGTGAAAAAACCTGGAAATCTAGTTCCCAACCTTGTTTACTCTGCAATTATATATCAGTAATAGCTATTGGTTCAAAACTTTTCATCTCAATTTTCGTCATTAATACACCAACCCTCCTGCATTCAGACGTAGCCACATTAATTTTAGTTAGGATATATAACATAAGTTTTTTCTGATAAATAATAATGATATTTTACCAATTCAAGGTCTTGCATATCTGGAGCAAATCCTGTCAGCATGGATATGTCTGCAACGGCCATGGAGGAGTCTGAATTGCCACGATATCTTGAAAGAACAAGTTATTACAACTTCACTTACAAGATTAGCAAAAAAGAAAACTACCACCATCAGAAATCAGCAATTTTTATCAAGCGAAATTGAAGATTGTGGAACATTGTTTTTTTTTGACCTTTAAAAACATTCCTTCCAGCAACAGTATATCCGTAATGTCGTTTCTTTTTAAATTATAAATGCCACAATCTTAGATATTATACTTTCATTTTAAACAAAAATGTTGTAAAAAGGAGTTTCTATTTGAAAATAAAAAGTACCAAGAGGTAAAAAGTTGATTTCATTGGTAGTATCAACCACCATACCTGTTACCAGATAAGTAGCCTGAAACAGCAGAGAAGTCAAGAGAGATGGAGGCTTGTACAGATGAGCATCATATAAGTGGATTCTAAGTCCATGGGGAAATGTAGCTTTCAGTTAGACTGACGTCTCCACCTCAGTGTTGATGGCATTACCATCAGTGAATCATCACCATCATCACCACAGCAGGGGAGGCAATGGCCTAGTGGTATTATCGCTGGACTATTACTCCAGAGGGCCAGGACATGTTCTTGGGACATGGGTTCAAATCCCACCATGGCAGATTTGTATTCAATAAATATCTGGAATTTAGTGTCTAATGATGACCATGAATCCATTGCCAGTTGTTGGAAAAACCCATCTGGTTCACTAATGTCCTTTAGGGAAGGAAACTGCCATCTTTACCTGCTCTGGCCTACATGTGACTCCAGACCCACAGCCATGTAGTGGACTCTGAACTGCCTTCTGGGCAATTAGGGATGGTCAATAAATGCTGGCCTAGTCAGAGATGCTGTCATCCCGTTAATGAATTTAAAAAAAGCATCGTCATTGACCAGAAGTGTATCTGGGCCAGTCTTATCTGATTACAAGAGCAGGGCAGAGGTTGAGAATTCTGTTGATTGCCTCCTGATTCCTGATAGTCTGTCCACCATCTACAAGGCACAAGTCATAAGTGTGCTGGAACTCTGTCCATCTGCTTGGATGAGGACCTCTCCAACCAGACTGAAAAAGTCCATCACCTCTGAGATAAAGCATACTGTTTGATGCCATCCCATCCAGCACCTTGAATGCTCTTACTCATTCCACCACTGGCCCAATGGAAACAATGCATACCAGCTACAAATCTACAGAAGCAAATCACCAAGGTTCTTTTGACAGCATCTTCTAAATCCACAACCACTAAAGGCTAAAGAAAAAAGACAAAGGGACACAGGTACACGATTAGTTACAGGTTTCCCTCCAAGGGAACAAACACAGAACTATACTGCAGTTCCTTTATTATCAGTGCGTCAAAATCCTAAACTCTCTCCCCAACAGTGCCACTATTGCATTGCAATTACACCAATCTCAATGCAGCAGTTCAAGAAAACAGCTAAATGCCAACTTCTCAAGGGCAATTAGGGCTAGGCACCAAGGATGCCAACTGTATCTTAAGTTAGAACATTTCCGATGTTATGGAGGAGGGGAATCCTGACTGGAGAAATTCAAACATGGAATTGTGACAGCACCCTGACAGAAAAAGGGGTTTTGAGATGAAGGTAAGTGTGTCAGGATGGAGGAGTTCAACTGCAATTGTATAAAAGAAATTGACGAAATACCAGTGTAGAGAGAACATTTTACAATGTCATCTCGCATGGGAACCAGGAAAGCAACTTGTATGCTCAGCAGATGAATGAGAATGATGTGATGGGTGACAGAAGGTGGATTGTTACAGTTGTAAAAGTTATGCCTGAATCATCAGTGAAAAGAGAAAGAAGAGGAACAAGAAAAAGTCCAGAGTTCGGTTAATGGAAAGTTTGATTTGATGAGTAACAAGGAAGGAAATAAGCAGAGCTAGCTCAGTGGATGGCTTCACTATTAGTGAAGGTAGTCCATGAGCTCCTCATACATGTTGGAGGTGATAGCGCAGAGAGTTTAATCTCAATTAGATATTCTTTAACTTCATGTGCAAAGATTGTTGATTTTATAAGCAATAATTCAATTGACCACGCAAGAAGACTAAACCAATGTTAATATAATGTTTTAAATATTCTATCAATGATTTTCCATCCAGAAAACTCCCCAACTAATTTCCTTGACAATATCAGGCCTCAACCGTAATCAAAATTATTGAAATCTGCATTACTTACTGTGCACAGATGTTTATCGCCAGAGAATTCAGAGCATCTTGGGGTCGATCAGCTGTACCAATGCAAAACAAAAAGTTATTGCAATGGAAATACTTTAATTCACAATTATATATTTAAATGTGGATAAAGGATAAATTAAATTGCATTTATGTTACTCTTTTCGAGATCTAAGGTCACCCTGACAGGCAATGCGATATTTTTAAGGCTTAGCCACTGTTGTAATAAACAGAGTAGTCAGTGAAACCCAGTTAACAAACTTCAAAGACAATAACGTCAGATCAGCAGATTTAGATTTGACTTGGGAATAATATTCACCAGAAAACCAGCATCACTGGGACAAATTCCTGGAACTCCCTCCCCAAGGAGTATATCAACTATAGCAGTTAAGAAAAGCAGATCACCATTGTTTTCTGAAGAGCAATTAGGAACAGTCAATGGGCAGTAACATTATCATCAAGGATATATCCCAGAAGAGACTTACAGTAATAAAGTTGTAAGTTTCCTAGTAAGGATCAAAATTCTCTCACATCAAGTCCCTTAAACATTTGCATATGTCAAAGAAATCAACTCCCACCCTTCTAAAGTCCAAAGAATATATGACTGGTCATGTAAAAGATGCTACAGTAGAATACAGCTTGTCATTAATGGAATGGAAGTCTAATGGAATAAAGAATTTGCACACATTTAATGACCTTTGAGACGAAACAAGGAAGATTTATCAGAAAGACTACAGGAATGAGGGACATTAGCTACAAAGGCTCTGTTGGGGAAGCCTTGGGGACAATGAGAGATGATGATAGGTTTAGATAAATGAGACAAAGAAAGCCTGCATATCATAGCCAGTGGTACAAGGACACAGATTAAAGGGGCCAAATTCATAAATACATCACTTCATTAGTGGTGCCGTGTTCCTTCAGGATCAAGAGCTGGCTCATAGGCTCCAATGGGGAAGTTGGGAACTGCATTGTCTTGCCAAACAAAGCAGACAGCTCCTCAGAAGGTGAGCAGTTTTGATGCTGTTACAAATGGCTAGACAGACAAAATAAAAAGTTCAGCAGCCAGTCTGGCTCAATTGGCTGATGAAATTGCCATTTTCAACAAATACCAAGAAACTTTTTGATGTTCTTGCGGTGAATCGCTGGAGATTTGCCAAATTGCTTTTTGAAAATTGTATCTTTCCCAGCCAAACAACAAGCTCCGAACAGAGCTCAATGGACAACTTATTGGTAGGGAACAAGTTCCCTATTCCTTAACCCTGAAAAACATTTTGAAAATTTCATGCTGTCCCGGATATGTCAGAAACTCAAGATAGTGTTGGGACCATGATTTTGAAATCGTGATCACGTTGGCATTTGAAAATCCAGCACAAGGCTCTGGACTGAAGTGCTGAAGAGTCATGTGAGGAAGAACCTTTTATTTACAGCGTAAAAACTGGCAGCAGAATTAAGCCATTCAGTCCTTTGAGATTAATCTGCCATTCAGCTAGAACCTGGCCGATCTGCTTGTGTTTCAAAATCCACACTCCCAGTTGCCTCCGATAAGGTTTGAATCCTTTGCCTGGTAGGTATCTATCCAACCCCACCTTAAAAATATTCAATGGTCCTGACTCAAACACCTTTCCGAGCCACAGAGTTGCAAAATTAAACAGTCGTAGATAAGATCCTCTTCATTTCTGTCTTAAACGTTCAATCCCTAATTTTTAGACAGTGGCCCTTGGTTCTTTCTATGTCAACCTTATGAAGGCTATTCAGGATTGTTTAAACTTCTATCAAGTCACTCCTCACTCTTCAAAATGAAAGCAAGTCTACTCCATCCGAGCTTTCCTCAAAAGACAACCTGCTCAGTCCAGGTATCAATCTCAACCTCATCTGAACTGCCCTCCATGCACTTACATCCTTCCCGAAATAAACAGACACAGTATTTGAGAGTCTCACCATTGCCCCGTATGTCTGAAACGTGATGTGCTTACTTTACTTTCAAGTCTTTTCATAGCAAAAGGTACTATTTCATTAGCCTTCTTCATTACTTACTGTACTTGCATTCTAACTTTTAGTGACTCATGCATGAAAAGCCTAGATCACTCTACATCTCAAGAGTTTTCCAGTCATTATATTGCTTGCTTTCTTCCTGCCAAAGTGAATAACATCATATTTTCCCACCTTCTACTCCAACCAGCTCACTCAACTTATCTATACCCATCTGCAACCTCAAGTCTAAACCATCAATAATCCACTGTCTCCACCACTGATATTCTGTAATAACAGCGTGTACCATCTACAAGATGGACTGCAGAAATTCACTCAGGCTCCTTAGACCATTCCTTCCAAATCAAGGCTCCTACCAAACCCAAAGCCACTTCCATATAGAAGGATAAGACATCAGATACATGGAAACCCGCCTCCTGCAAGTTCCCATCCAAGCCACTCACCATCCTGCCTTGGAAATATGTTATTATTCCTCCTGTCACTGGGTCAACATCCTGGAATTCTCTCCCTAACAGTATTTTGGGTGCTTGGATACCACACAGACTGCAGTGGTTCAAGAAGCTCACCACCAGCTTTTCAAGGGCCACAAGACAATAAATGTAGGACCAGCCAACAAAGGCAATATGAATGATTTTATTTTAAAGTCTTCTTCAGAACAGACTTTCCTACCTTTCTCTGATTCATCTACTGTGCCTTTGATCTCTTCATCTACATCACTGTACAGAAGCTGAGGTCCCAGCACAAACATCTACGGTACTCCACTCGCCAAATCAAAGTAGTGTTGCCATTTGTGGGGATAGAGTTGAATAGAGAGGGGCAATGAAATAGAGAGGATTGCTCCTCAGACAGTTGCAATAGACTGGCTCCCTCTATGCCTTAATGATCCTTAAGCCTTAATTACTATCTGTCAAAGCATTATACAAGACAAAATCTACTCTTCCTTGCGAGGACGTTTGTCTCTCAAAGGTTTTATAATTGATTACATTTATTATGTGGCTTAAATAGCTGTTCATATTCATCTACTCCCAGAGACAAGTCACTCTTTGCTGAATCTCACAAACCATTATTTCCCTCTCCTCCTCATTTGACCACAGTCAAACCTTTCTCTGGCCATGAGGTTCCTCAGCTTCTGCTAAAAATGTTTACCATTCCTGGAATTATTGTACTTCATTGAAGAGAACTTCAAGTGCCTAATTCTAGTGGAAACTGGACAGAATTGATGGCCAAATTGCTCTAGGACATTTACAGCTTATCTCTTACCCTGCAAATATTTCAGCATCACTTTTGTTTTTTGGCAAAGGCTCAACTGTGAGACAAACTCAGGCAAGAACAGTGCTCATTTTCCAATTCCTTTATGGGATGTGGACAAGCCAGTATTTATCATCCATGCTGAATTGTGCTTCAGCCAAACCCATTGAGGTCTCAGTGAATAACTAGGAGTCAACCATAATGCTGTGGGTTTGGATTCACACATAAGCAACACCAGATTTCCTTATTTTTCCCACATCAATGTACCAGACGGCTTTTAGACGTGGTGGTCTCAAGGCCCTGTTATTGACTCCAGCTTTTCAATTCAAATTTATTTAATAAATTGCATCTAACTTTCCATTCTGTTGAGATTATTATCCAAACCTCTGGATTACTCCCAGAAGATAACAACTATAGATATTTTCTAAATCAACCCATTCAGAAATGTTACTACACATTCTTGGAAGAGGTGGGATTTGAACCCGGATCTTCTGGCTTAGAGGTAGGGACACTACCACTGTGCCACAAAAGCTCTCAAATCTAGCTATTATATATCAATTAATTGACTGAGCCCCATCCCTTAGACAAGGATCCAATCTATTTTAACTACTAAGCAAGCAAAAATATCATATTTCTTAATAGATGTAGGAATGATTTTTTTTTGCCACTGTTCTATTGCCCAGATGGTTCTGCTGCAGTTAACTGTGAGAAATAATGATCTTAAGATAGTCAGTACATAGCTTACCTTGAGGCACCTCTTGCACACTTACTCGCACATCGAATTTCTTGCATTTTTTTACTTGCTTGGACACCAGAGCATGATAACTAGTTAGAACCTGCATAGTAAAAGCAGAAACAGTGGTCATCCATAAAAGCAATGAAGTCATTGAGTCACAGAAGTCTACTGCACAGAAAAAGGCCTTTCAGCCCATCACATCTGCGCCAGTCAATAAAAAAGCAGTTCACTATTCTAATCCTATTTTTCAGCACTTGGCTCTTAGCCTTGTGTGCTTTAGTATTAGAAGAGCACATCTAATACTTCTTAAATGTTATGAGGGTTTCTGCCTCTTCCACCATTAGAGGAAGTGAGCTCCAGGTTCCCACCACCCTCTGGGTGAAAATGTTTTTTTTTCCACATTTCCTTTAAACCTGCTTCTTCTTGGTTATTGATGATCCCTCCACCAAGGGGAAATATCCCTTCCTGTCTAGACATGTGAGATAATAAAACCAAGCAATGGATGGTATGGTGGCTCAGTGGTTAGCACTGCTACCTCACAGCACCAGGGACCTGGGCTCAATTCCACCCTCGGGTGACTATCTGTGTGGAGTTTGCACATTCTCCCCATGTCTGTGTGGGTTTCCTCCCAGTGCGCAAGTTACGTGGACTGGCTGTGCTATCGTGTCCAGGAATATATGGGTTAGGTGGGTGCTACAGCAAATGCAGGGATTGGGTGGGATGCTCTTCAGAGGGTCAGTATGAACTCACTAGGCCAAATGGCCTGCTACCACACTGCAGAGATTCTACAAATCAAATCCCTGATGTGTTGCCCATCAGGACACTGCTAAAATCCTTTGCTGGTACAATTGCACCAGGAACATTGACCTTCTGATGAATTGATTGGCATTTCCAGAGTCTCTCTCTGCAATTTTTTTATTCATTCACAGGATGTGGGCACATCCCTAACTGTCCAGATGGTGCTTAAGAGCCAAGCACATTGCTGTGGGTCTGGAGTCATACGCAGACCAGAATAGGTAAGGATGGCAGTTTCCTTCCCTAAAGGATACTAGTCAACCAGTTGGACTTTTTCCAACAATCATCGATAGACTCTTAATTCAAGATTTTTATTGGATTCAAATTCCATCACCTGCCATGGTGGGATGCGAACCCAGGTTCCCAGGACATTACCCGAGTGTCTGGATTAACAGTTCAGTGATAATACCACTGGGCCACTGCCTCTCTCTCTGACTCTAAGCTAAGCATAGGAGACTGAAGAAGCCAGATATTCCTTTCCAAATACTTAGCAAGAAATGTTATGCTAGTTCATGCCTCATCGAAATCAGAGATTAGCTGCAGAAACTGAACTGAGAACCACAAAGCCAATCGCCCTCAGCATACTGAGCTGCATTGACAACGTGCAGGGATGTGGTGACATTATTGATGCGTCTACAGGTGTTTCTTGCAGCATGCCCTGTCAGGACTGAACGTTGTCAGAGGCTATGCCTGTATATACCTGATGGCCATGTTTAGCCTTATGGGTAAACCAGTCTGCTTCGTAATATAATTATTTTCGGTAGGAAGTGAGATTAATCAAGTGCTTCAGTCTCAATGCTGCAAAAAGGCAACAGGGTGAATGTGTGAAAAAAGATTCGTTACTGAGAAAATGTACTTATCAAGAAAGACCATAAACGTTTTCCCTCAAAAAGGTAGGGCAAGGGGTGACTTGAATGATACAAATGATGGACTATTCTACTTACAGTACTGCATTCACAAACCCGAGGTATTTGAAACCAATACTTACTTTCACTGTTCCTTGTCCTTTTCCTTTTGCTTGTATTGTAAATTTTTCAAGGGCACTCATCTGAAATATGGATAGTGTAGATTAGCCATTCAGCTTGACATAGCACTTATTTAACATTAAAAAAATAGGAGCAGGACTAGGCCATTCAGTCCTTCAAATCTTCTCCACCATTCAGTATGATCATGGCCAATCATCCAACTCAGTCCTCAGTTCCCGCTTTTGCCCCATATCCTTTGATCCCTTTAGCCCTAAGAAATACATCTAACTCTTTCTTACAAACATTCAACGTTTTGGTCTCAAACAATTTCTGTGGCAGAGAATTCCAGAGGCTCTCCACTCTCTGAGGGAAGAGGCATTACAAAATGGTTAACATAATAAAAACAAAGGAAGAGACTGCAAGATGAAGAGACATAACAGCTTAGGTCCAAAAAATGATGAAACAAATTAGAAATGAAAAGAAAATTATAGAAAAGCTGTCCTTTCATTCTTTGTCCTCAGAATGTGACTGACAGGTAAGGGCTGAGGAATGGAGGTGATGGGGCAGTGCTGGGGAGGTCCTTTTCTTGCCCAGCAGCAAACCCTGAAGTAGTGGTGAACATACGCGTCCAAGAATCCAATTGCGAGTTATGGTGAAACATTGGAGACAACAGTGTGCCTACTGCTCTTATTCATCTCATTGGTAGCTGTTACAATGTTGGGAATCACTGCCAAAGTAACCGCAATGAAATGCATCTTGTGGATAATGCACAATTCACTCTCAGCGCAATCACAGCCGTGGGCAAATTCCCATCTCCTTTTATTTTCCCAATGCACAGACGTCCAAGGTCCATGCATGGTCGTGACTTCCAGAAGCAGGAGTGAAAATGCATCAGCACACTAACTGGGGTTAACAAAGCCTCTGAGATGCCAAGCGCAATTGCAGGGATTGATGCTGAGCCTAAAGTCTGAGTGCCAAACAAGCAAGCTGCTTTGTCTCTGGCAGTTGGTGCTATTGGCTCTATTGTTTAAGGTGTGCGCAAGTGTCGCGTACCACTTGAGCCTCATGGACGCTGGAGAGACTTTGGACGAGCCAGCAGGTGAACTAATTCAGGCATGGTCTCATCCAGCCTCAGTCCTGACATTGCTGCCAAAGTCATAATCTAGTTATGGTCCTGTTATAAGGTTCAGGCCAATTCTAACAATGTAAGTTTTGATGGTGTGAAATCAGCAATAGCAGTGCCAGCGAAGATCAACTGAAGATCAGAAGAAACAGGAGCAGGTTTAGGCCATTCATAAAATGAGATCGTGGCTGATCATCTCTTTGGTACCATTTTCCTGCACTATCCCTGTTTCTCTCAATGTTTTTAATCGGGAGAAATCTATCATCTCAGTCTCGAACTGACTTCATCGAGTTTCTGAGACAGGGCATTCACAAGTTCCACCACCTCTGAATGAAGGAATTCCACCTCATTAGTTGCCTGCCCTGTATTCTGCCAAGGAGGAGGTACTGGGATTTTTCTAGCTAGAGATAGTCATTGCTAAGTATTCGTAGGATCATAGAAACCCTGCAGTGTGAAACAGGCCATTTGGCCCATCAAGTCTGTACCAACCCTCTGAAGAGCATCCCGCCCAGCCCCAAACCCCACATTTACCACAGCTAATCCAACTAGCCTGCACATCCTTGGACACTATGGGGCAATTCACCATGGCCAACCCACCTGACCTGCACATCTTTGGACATTTTGCATGGCAAAGATATTACTTTCCATTTGTTGGCCAGCAGCAAAGAGGCCCTGCCGCCTGACAAAGTTAAAGATTGAAACTTTACTTTATTCTAAGTAGAGGAAAGATCACAGACCTGCAACAAACTTGAAGGGCTGAATGGCCTATTCCTGCTCCAATGAAACAAACTATTTCTTTCTCCACCAGTCTTGCCAGACCTACCAAGTATTTCTCACATTTTGCGGTTTTTATTTCACAAAACCAGCATTTTCAGATTGTGGTTTTTGAAGGTGTTGTTGTAGGAATCCAAAGGCCTGGACAAAATGAGTTTGAGTGATGAGTTCAATTCTCACTCTAGGAAATATATGAGATGCTTCACGAAGATTTCTGTTCCCCCTACAGCGAAAAACGTGGTACCTGGCCAGGTAGTGCATGGCTGAAATTTGAAATTCCTTTACATGCCACTGAAATTCAAGAATTCCCTTTCTTTACACAATAAAACTGTCAACTCCTGGGCCAGTCAACACTGAAATTATTGAGCAAAACAGGGCTTTAAAGCATCATAGCTACTGAAAACATATATGCAAATGCAGGTTCATGAAGTGGGATGGGTGAAGACTCTGTGAAACATCAATGCAGGCCACAGACTAGGAGGAATGAATGATCCATTCCTGCACTGCCCACTTGTTGCAAAATTAGTTAAATACACTTCTATAGGTTGGAAACAAAAATATTATACTGAGGAACAGGCGCAAAAGCAAAATTACAATATTTATGCTCAAAACAACAACAAGCACAAGTGCCCAGTTAGGTACATTAAAAAGAATTGCTTTAAAAAAATAAAATTTCAAACTTATCTAATCACTAACCCTTTCAGACTTTGCTACATATTTATTTGATGAGTCAAAACGCCATTGAATAGGTCTGTTCCTGCCGGGAATGGTGACACTGACATCCAAATCAATTTCCTTCACTTGAGGAATATCCATCTGATATTTGGCTAGAGCTTGTAGAGCAACCATTGTTGCCTAGGGCAGGGTGGAAAGAAAAAAAAAAATGATTGTTAGAGATAATTGAGAAGTAGAAATTTGAAATTGCTTGCTTATGAAATATTCTATTGTTTGGTTTCGATTTAAATTCTCTAAGAATAATCAAGAAATTTCAAAACAAACAACGCCTACAAGGTTCCAGTTCCAACTTGGCAGCGTCTGGGGGGAGAAAGGCACTAAAACTTAAAATCACTTTAATCCAAAATCAATGGAGTGGGGCGTATAAGTCTGGACATTTTTTTTTATTATTCATTAATGGGCTGTAGGCATCACTGGTAAAGTCAGCATTTATTGCCAAAAGATCGCTGCTCTCCAGAAAATGGAGGTGAATCATAGAATCCCAACAAGTCCACACCGACCCTCCAAACAGCATCCCACCCAGACCCATCCCCCTAATTTCCCATGTCTAACCAAGCATACCTGGACACTAGGGGCAATTTATCACAGCCAATCCACCTAACCTGCACATCTTTGGACTGTGGGAGGAAACCGGAGGAAACCCACACAGGTACGGGGAGAACGTGCTAACTCCACACAGACAGTCGCCCGAGGGTAGAATTGAACCTGGGTTGCTGGCACTGTGAGGCAACAGTGCTAACCACTGAGCCACCATGCCACCCGAACTACCTTCTTGAACCGTGTGGTGTAGGTACATCCACAAAGATGTCAGAAAGGGAGTTCCAGGATTTTGACCCAGTGAGAATGGCAGATATATTTCTGAGTACGTCAGGGTGTACCACTTGGAAAATAATTTACAATGTGGTGCTCCCTTGCACTTCCTGACTTCATTCTTGTAGGTCCTAAAGGTTGCAGGTTTTAAATAACTATAAGCAAATGCAATGACAATTTTAAGCCATTTTAAATGATTTCACACTTTAGAAAAGCTCAAAACTAATTCATTTTTTCATCAAAAGGATGCTATGAACTTGCTGGGAGGGACGCTCATCGGCTAACACAACATGTTAGATGTTGTGGTTGGTTGGCTCGCCAAGCTGGTTCATAGTTCCACAGACGTTTCATTACCCTGCTGGGTAACATCATCAGGGCAGGGTCCAATGAAGCGCCATTGTGTTCTCGCGCCTGGTTTTTAAACCCTGGGGTCCGTTGAGCTGGATTACCTCACTTCCGGTTTTCCTTCGCAATGGAGTGTATGTGGGGTCGAGTTCTCTGTGGAACAACAACGAACCAGCTCGGCTAGCCAACCAACTACAACATCCACAACCCGAGCTACAAATCTACTCTAAAACCTTAGAGACAATATTATAGAGTCGTAGAGCTGTACAGCATGGAAATGGACTCTTCGGTCCAACTCGTCCATGCCGATCAGATATCCTAAATTAATCTCGTCCCATTTGCCAGCATTTGGCCCATATTTCTCTGAACCCTTCCAATTCATATACCCATCCAGATGCCTTTTAAATGTTGTAATTGTACCAGCCTCCACCACTGCCTCTGGCAGCTCATTCCATACACGCACCACCCTCTGTTTGGAAAAGTTACCCCTTTTAAATCTTTCCCTTCTCACGTTAAACCTATGTCGTCTAGTTTTGGACTCCCCTCTGAATAGACCTTGGCTATTCAGCCTGTTAATGCCCCTCATGATTTTATAAACCTCTATAGGGTCACCCCTCAGCCTCTGAAGCTCCAGGGAAAATAGCCTCAGCCTATTCATCCTCTCCCTATAGCTCAAACCCTCCAACCCTGGCAACATCCTTGTAAATCTTTTCTGAGCCCTTTCAAGTTTCACAACATCCTTCCAATAGCAGGGAGACCAGAACTGAATGCAGTATTCCAAAAGTGGCCTCACCAATATCCTGTACAACTGCAACATGACCTCCCAACTCCTATACTCAATGCACTGGCCAATAAAGGCAAGAATACCAAACGCTGTATTCACTATCCTGTCTTCCTGCGACTCTACTTTCAAGGAACTATGAATCTGAACTCCAAGGTCTCTTCGTTCAGCAACACTCCCCAGGACCTTACCATTAAGTGTATACGTCCTGCCCTGATTTGCCTTTCCAAAATGCATCACCTCACATATTTCTAAGTTAAACTCCATCTGCTACTCCTCAGCCCATTGACTCATCGGATTCCATTGTACTCTGAGGCAACCTTCTTCACTGTCCACTACACCTCCAATTTTGGTGTCATCTGCAAACTTACTAACCATATCACTATGTTCACATCCAAATCATTTATATAAATGACAAAAAGCAGTGGACCCAACACCGATCCTTGTGGCACACCGCTGGTCAGCAACCCTCCACCACCAACTATTTCTTTTGCAAAATAAAAAAAGTTCCTAACCCTAACGAATAAAATTGACTTTTATCATTCAAGACAAGAAGATCAAATTATGTTCTCATACTTGTAATCTTGACCAGTACAGGATAGTTCCTACTTGAAATGGTAATGGTTATTGAATCCTATGTTAGTTTGCCAAATCAGATGCATTCACTTTGTACATTTGGAGGACCTAATTTCTAAATTAGGTTGCTGATCTTACAGCATTGAGTAGGTGCCACAGCATCAGAAAATCCATTCTTTATGAAATAAAATATGATGGAGATCGTGTACACTGGTTCAACTGTATTTGAAAGACCTAATGTAAAGTTTCCATTGGAATTCAACAAGAGAGATTTTACTGATCAGCTGAGTGTGGGGAATTTCTGCTAACTCTCATTTCAATCTTGCAATTCCCATCAACATGTTTGGTGTGTAGAATTATACCTTCTCAAATCTGGGTAGAGGTTCTTTAACACTTTGAAAATGGTGGAAATATGTTACTCATTCCAGTTGCTATCACTTGACCCACAGTAACTATGGACAGAAGGGATAACAGCCTGATAACATTGCAGAGGCAGGTGGAGCGTGTCAGGAGTAAATGATTGTGCAGGTCAATATTTAATTTCCTTTAATGACCAGTTGAGAAAGCACTGGCTGGGGGTTCATTGCAATAGGATCCAGGGTCTGCTATAGTCGGGCAATGACCATGCTTTCCCCAGATGAACTTCCCAAGAAACCTGACAGACCAATTGACGTGAGCCTG